TAATACTCCAACCAATAATTCAACGCTAACGACCGCCAACCCAACTTCCCTGATTCCACATACTCACCTCTTTATTTGAAGCTACCATGTAAATATTAAGAAATTGAAAGGACAATGGATACCGACCCAACCATCTTGCGCTTCAAAAAGGAATAGACTGACCATCGCCAAGTCTAAATGTTAACATCTGCATAATACCACGAGGTTCCTTTGATTCTTTTAACTTCATCAAATATCTCCATCAAATATACTCTCTTGACTTATTTCTCAGACCTTCATTAAATCACAACTTCCTACTCAAATTAACTATCTATGTATAAATAAATGCAATGCTCATGAATAATTGTTCAAAATCTAGTGACGCTAAAGTCCATCCAAAGTTGAACACAACTTTGTTCTGATCTATGAGTTCCTCCTGGTGTATCTTTCGTTGTTCGACAACCTCTTATTAGCATCACCTATGGCCATTGATGTCATCAATCAGTTATTATTAATTATATTGGTTAAATATGTTTTTGGCCTCTCTAAATATTACTAACTTTGATTATAGTCTCTCAAAACATTTTCTTTAAAGAACAATCCTCATAAAGTTTTTCATCCACACTTTTAGTCACTACTGTCTATTTGGTCTAACGGAAGATGACATGGCACGCCATGTTACACGCCACGTAATTTAAATTCAACACTGTTGAAAAACACTCTTTTTTGCGGGGGTTTAACCAATTTCAACCGGGGTATTTTTTCCATTTGACAACAACATGCACAAACAAAATATTTAATGTTGAAAAGTTGATTACATAAAAGTTTATCATGTCAATATGAGTATTATTTTTGCAACCTTGGCTAGGTAGCTAATTCTTCAAAAAAATTATTCCAATCAGGAATCCGAGAGACATTAAAAAAAGAATATCTAGCTTTATGGGATATACACAATGGCAACTCTTACCGCCTCATTTCAACACCATGTATTGTTTACATCAATATGGAAAAGTGAAAATAAGCAACAATGTCATTACAAGCTTCAAGTTCTGAAACTCACAAAAATTGATAACTGACATGGGCTTTCTAGAATCTGTGTTAAGCCATACATATCAACAAACAACTTGTATGCAACATTCAAAACACTAAACTACAATCATAAACAAGACAATTATTCTGAGAAAGATTTACCCACTAGTGGTGGTAGCATCAATGTCATTGGTGGCGCCTATAAAAACAGAGGAAAACCAAACCCCAACCCTGACACTATTAATGAACGCCAAAAAGATTAGCGATAGAAGACACCATTAATCTATAATTTTGGAATTTAGGGAGGTTTAACATCCTCAAACCAGCGTGTTTTCCAACGTTGTTGACTTTAAATGACGTAACGTGACACATCAGCTTCCATTAGATCAAATAAACGGCAAAAACAAAAAATGTGAACGAAATTTTTTAAGAGAATCATTTTTTGAAAGAATTTTTTTAAATGACTAAAACCAAAATTTTCAATATTTAAAAAGACTAAAAATATACTTAACCTTTATATTAATTATAAAATAATAAAATTATTATTTTGAATTGGGACTGGCTTGAATAAAGGCAAGAGAAACTTTAGCATATGGCCTGTAAATTTAAGGGGCCTTATATTTGATAAGTTTATATTTAAAATTATATTTAAAAAAATTAAAAAATTAAAAACTATTATACAGCGGTTCGTAGTTGAGTGTTAATAAAGCCTTGATAAAATATTTAAAAAATATATATGGGTTAGATTCTTATAATGTTAATTTTAGTGCGTTTATTTAAGTTGTATTGTTTTTAATTTAGGCTCATTTTTAATAGAGTTAAATATGTTTTTAGTTCTTATAAATATTTTAAAATTTCATTTTTAGTTTCTATAAAAAAATGATTTAGTTTTAATTTTTATTTTTTCTAAAATTTAAAAACTGTTTAATTACTTTTTCAACTTTTAAATTTTTGAATAATTTTTCCGAATATTATAAAATATTTCTCTACTAAATTTTAGAATTTATTTAAAAATGAATAGAATTAAATATGATTTTTTAATTTAAAAAAATAATAATAAAAATAATAAAAATTTCGACTTAAAAATTAAATTGAGATTTTTAGTTTGAAGAACTTTCTATAACATTTTAAATATATTATCAAAATAATAATTAAAAATACACATTGGTTTAAAACAAAAACTAAATATAAATTAATTTTGTAAGGATCAAAATAATGTCTATTTTTTTATAAATACCAAAAATAAAATTTGATAATTTATAAGAACTGAAAATATATTAAATATTTTTTAATATTAGAATATGGTCTTTGATTAATTGCCCCAACCTTCTTTTGGATTATAATTTCATGGATTTAATAAGTTTTTATTAAATAAATGAAGAATGAAATTAAAAATAAATTGTTTAAATCCTATGAAGTGAATGATAATGAACACAAAAATCTAGCTCCAATCAAAAGTTTTTGCGATCATAAATAAAGTCACAAACACTCTAGGTGACTAGACAGACACACTTTTTATTCCCTGACCAACTAAACCTTCCTCTCTTCACCCATCTATCCATCCATCAACTAAACAAATGAAAAAGAGACAGAGCAAATACCATTCACATCCATATCATCATCTGAATTCTTCATGGCCATCATTATATTTTTATGATAGTTCATTCATTCATGCAGATCAAGAAAGTGTGACATAGCATAAATGATAGGCGATACTAAGAAAAAAAAAAACATGTTAGGGTGTGACATAGCATAAACAAAAAGTTACAAAAATAAAATAAAATAAAATTAGTGAAGTATAGGTGTATTATTATTATTATTATTTCAGTGTACTATATAGATATATGAAATAACTGAACTTTTTTGTCGACATATCGTAATCACAGTGTCAAATCAAGGCATGATGATGAGATGGAAAACACTGTTATAATGAAACAACACGTAAACCAATCTGTAACTGTTGTTGTTATTGTGACTTCTCGTCAACAATTAACCACTCTTGTGTTCTTGAGTTTAATGGAAAGATGTAACAGTGTTTTTGAATTATAGTACTTTTATTTCCTCATATTAAGACAAAATTTGGATGTTTGTGTGAAAAACGTTGGTGCCATTCCGTTTCTGGTCAGACCTTTACCAGGTTGACACCTTTTTTTGATGAAACAAAACACATAAAATCTGATAACTTGTAACTTAATCAATTTATAACTAGTTTGTGTTTTGCAGTACATTATTTCTTTCACCTAAATAAACAAAGTAGTGCTGTATATTTTTTTTTGGAATACTCAAAAAAATAAGTTTAAAATAGGTATCGTATGCAGACAAATTATAAAAATAAAACATGAAGAAATAATGTGCAAAAGTTGTACCCATGAAATATATAAACTAGAAGATTTTGGTAGAGAATTTTGTGTTTAAGCTATTTCTATTGACTGGGTTGTCTATGTGGGTTTGCGTAAGAAGCACAAACATTTTAAAAATGACTTTGATATTCATACGGTGATATCGATAATAATTTTAAAAAATAAATAAATTAAATGTAATTACAAATATTGATAAAGTGTTTGACTCCAACACAAACATATTTTTTCTTTAAAGTGCCAGTGCTACGTAAACATTCAAACATATAATACATGATCTCATATTGCGGTTAAGCCGTGATTAAAAGAGCTTTCATTATTGAGTTTTTAGACATAATTCATAATCTAATAGAGTTCTTGTAAATTTTATCAAAGTTAAATTGTGATGACTAATTTAGCCTCATACACCAGATCTCTCACAAAATTTTGACAACCTTACCCATAGATTTTGTAAAAGCTATACACTTTTGCAAAATTACAAAGGTTCACTATAATTTTTCAAAATTACAAAGATTCACTATAATTTAAAAAAAAAAAAAATTCATACTATCGAGTTTGGAGTATTTAGGTTGTCCTACTTATAATTGGATTATGTATTTTTTAATTCGTACTCACTCGAGAGACTATTATATATATTTTAAAATTTATAACAATATAAAAACTTCATAAAATATTTATCACAGTTTAACTACAACAATTTTATCCGAATAAAATCTCCATTTATTTTGCTACCGATCAACTATGACAAACTTATTATCTCCAAAAACATGAAAAAAAAAGCCTATTGTGGTATTTTAGGTTTTGTTGCATTCATGCATCCCTTTTCTTTATTGACCTTATTTATATTGATGCATCCCTCTTCCTTTAAATTTTTATTTTCTAAAATTTTTTGTTAATTTATTCGTTAACAAAAAAATAAAAAAGAACAATATGTATTCATTATTTTCAAAAATATATTATCACTAGCTAGCATTGCATCTTTTTCATTTCATGTCAGTATTCAATCTTCTTATAAATCAGATAAAACAAACACATATCTTCAAAAATATTTTTTCTCAAAACAAACATTGTGAATTTTTTGACATAATAATAATAATAATAATAATAATAATAATAATAATAATAATAATAATAATAATAATAATAATAATAATAATAATAATAATAATAATAATAATAATAATAATAATAATAATAATAATAATAATAATAATAATAATAATAATAATAATAATAATAATAATTGAAACACACATAACATAACTTTAATTAAGTAGCATCATATCATATAATTCCATATCATACTATAAATCAACAAACATAGTTTCTCTTGAACTCATACAAGAGAAAATAAAAGTTACATATTTAAGTCAACAAAGTCATGATGATATCTCCATCCATACTTTGCAACAGCACATATATCTGAAGTCATTCTCATGAGCAGTGTCCACAAACACCATATTTCAATTCAATAATAACCCTAATAGTAACACACACGAACTGTCACAAAAGATAACAAAAAGAAAAACCACAAAGTCACCAAAATAGACAACAACAAACAACAAAATAGCAACAGCAACAAAATAGTAAAACACCATATATTAAATCTTCATCACCCTGCACCATTTTTTTTCTCTATATCTGTAAAAACAAAAACACAAAGAGTATATAAGTTAATTAACAATTAATTAGGTTAAACTGATAAGATAAACTAAACATGTTTACGTGCTTTAGTGCTTACCAGATAATAACATGCACCATGCTGGAGTGAATGGAGAGTTACACCCCATTGGTTTGTTAAAACTGGTTGTCCAGTTGAATGAATGAGCACAGAATCATCACCAAATGCTTCACGAACATTGAAAGGTCCAGATGCTACCTCAAACGCCACATCATTGATGAACACCATTAACCTTGCAGGAACACCTGTTTCTCCAATGCCTGAGAGACACACAATCATTTCACAAATAGAACTCTAACTATAGCTGTATACTTCTTCCGTTTTAAAATGATTATCGTTTTAACAAATAAATTTTATTTCAAAATAACTATTATTTTCACTTTTCAATATAGTAATAATTATTATTTTTTCAATTATTTTTTTATATTTTTATTTTCAATACTACTTCTAATAGATTAATAAAAATTAATTTTGTAAAAATAGAATTTCTTATGATAATATAATTACATTTTTTAATTTGTGTACAAAAATTTTAGATGATATTTATTTTAAAACGGGGGAGTACTAAAAGTCAAAAACTAATACAAAAGCCTATTTTTGAGCCAATAAAGCCATGCACACGTGACCTAAAACCATGGTAGAGTCATTAGCCACCTCCTTTTTCCTTTTTTGCTTACATACATTACCATTTTTATTTCAAAAACTATGTTCTTAGGGTTCTATAGGTGGTGTAAAATAAGTATAAAAAAATTAGTTGTATAAATGAAAATTAAATAAACTAGTAACTAAAGATCTTAGGTTTTGGCCAATAAATACAAAAAAAAAAAGAGTTCAAAAAATATCTATTAATTTCTGTGGTTATTTTAGGGTTTTTTTTCTCTAGTAGTGTATCATATGATAAAGTAAGTAGTATCTAATTAATTACCTTGTAGTTGAGAAAGGATAGGGGATGGAACAGTGATGGTGGAGGAGGTAGTAGGAGGTACATCAGTAGTAGTAGTTGTGGGTGTAGGTGTGAAACAGAAGTTGAAATGAGGGATTTGGTGCACTATTTTGACAGACTTATCCTGATCTTGTTGATCTTGATCTTTCTTTGAGGAATTAGCACCATGGTTGTTCATGATCTCACTAAGAAGAAAACTAGTAGTGCAATGACCAGTGTTTTGCTGCTGTTGATGCTGTTGTTGTTGAGCATGAACAACATTTGAGAGTTCAGAGAAACAAAACCCTTGTGAAGTAACATTATTAGGTTGAGCAACAACACCTTGTCCATGATTTTGCACTGGGAAGAAGAAAGTCTCAGTAGGTGGTGCAGTTACTCTTGGTTGTGGTGGTGGAAGAAGATTAGCTTCATTTTGTGTCTGAAAATAGGTTTGGTTCACAGAAGAAGGGGATGGAGAATTAGGCACAACGTCATTGAAGTTAGGGAAACCAAGAGAAAACACCTTGGAAGGGATTAACTCCTTCGGCGGAGATTTCTCAGACGAAGAAGATGAAGACGACGGTGCAACAGTTGCTTGAGGAACTGAAGAGGCATGATTGTTATGCTGTGGTTGTTCCTGACTCTGATTCTGATTATGATTCTGCTGGTTCCTTGAGTTGTTTTGGTTTTGAAGATGACGAAGCTTATGTTTGCTTCTTGATTTGCGGTTCTGGAACCAGTAAAACACATTAGCATCACCAACTTGACCATACTCTTGTAACTGTGCTCTAATCTTCCTTATTTCTTCTCTCGGTGGATTCACCATTCCTGAGTTGAATATAGCTTCAAGTATCCGAATCTGTTCAGGTTTCGGATTCCACCTAGGCTTCGGCTCAGGACTTCTCTCTTCACAACCTTCAAGAATATACACAGATTTGTTACAATAAAAACCTAAGAATCTATCATTTTTACCTATATTTTATGTAAGAAAAGTTTATACACAGATTTGTTACAAAAAAAAAAAAAAGGCCTAAGAATCCATCATTTTTACCTATATTTTATGTAAGAAAAGTAAACTGAGTAGATTGAAAAAATGTTTACCTGATGAGTAAGGAGTTCTGTGACAAGCAGAAGATGAGATGAGAGAAGAGTTGATGTCATGCTGCCATTGGTGATGAGTGTTGCAGGGCTTAGACTTAAACATGCTTGGCCAGTGTCTATTAGAAGAAGCCATGATGATGATGATGAAGAATGAATGAATGAATGAGTGATAGAAATCTAGAAGAAACTCTTTTTTTGTTTCTCTCTTGCTTTCTGTAACACACAGAACCTTCTTATATAGCCACTAGTTGTTAACCGTGCGTCTCACAACAAGTTCTATAATTGAAATAATAATAACAATAACTCATTAGTCATAGTCATAGTCATAGATATAAGAATTTATTTAACTTAATAAAATGAAAGATGAAAAAAGTGTTTTATATATATTATGTATAATAAATATGGAATATATAAAAATAGGTGAAATGCAACAGGAATCGCCTGTGAGAAAAATAAACAAGAAAGGAAAGTGAAATAAATAAAAAGAGAGTACCATAGTATAGTATAAGTCTTCCCATCCCTTGTAGTACTATAGCTATAGCTTTTATAGATTAGAAAACTACTTTTGCATTAATAGTAGAGAGTGAAAAAAGGTGAAAAATAAAAGAGATATAGTTTAAAGTAGAAGGAAATTCCCCCCGGATGAGAAGCAAAGGGAACAAGGAAAAGAATAGATGCTGGGGACTTAATTAGGAATCTTGTTGGTGCAGAGATATGGCAGAGAGAAAAAAAGCTCTTAATGCTAGGGCTTTCATCACACACACAAACATAAGAAAAAAAAAAAGAAGAGAAAAAAAAGTGTGATCTGAACAATCTGTCTGATTCTTTTAACACAATTCCATGGGGGAAGGGAAAGAGAAAATGTGTGATATTAATGAGAAGGTGTAGAAATAATAAGTGTGGGATTATTCTAATGGATGAGGTTGTTGTATAGGAATAAATAGGGGTTGAGGGGATGGAAGATTTTCAAACTTTCAAAGTCAAGAAAAGAGTGTGTACTAATTTTTGATTGGAAAGTGGTGGTGGGTTAGTAATTGCTTGTTTTTTGGGTCATTTTAGGCAAAGTATGGACTAAGGTTAGTATTTGGATTGAATCGAGGGGGCATTTTATTGACTATTTTACTTCATCAAATGTATTTTTTTCTCTCAAATTATTACAATTCATGTGTGTATATATGGTTTTTGCACCATATATCTACAAAGAGTGTTATTTTAACACATAAAAATATCGAATAACAAATAAAGATATAAAGAAAATATTGTTTGTTAAGTGCATCCACCTAAAACTATACTGAAATACAAACTATGTTGAGTAGGAGTATTGTATTATCAAGTATTTACTATTTTGTCAATCAAATAAAATTAAGAGTTATTTTATAGTTTTTTTTTTGTAGTATAGTTATTTTATAGTTGCACCTACTTAATACATAGTCAAATTATTCATGTTTAAGTTATCCATCGTAAATCTTTCATCCATCTTCATCATAATATCAAAATCAATATTGTCTAAATTTAGGGTTCATTGATGGTACTATTAATCACGATGAATTTTTTTTTATTAACATTCTTTATTTATTTACTTTTTTGAAAATAACAAATGATATTACGAAGATGTGTGATTGAGTCAATGAAAAATAAAAAGGCTGATTATTACGAAGATAGATATTATGAAAGCACAAAGATCAAGAGGTGATTATGCGCAACAAAACCTTTTGTTCGAATGTATTATTTGAGAATAGAAAAGTATAAGTTTTTGTCATGCGCAAGTTCAGATTCAAATAAAATATATCATCAAGAAAAGCACACAAGAGTGAAAGTTAAAACATTGAAGGTAGAAATCAAATGAAATAACACTTTTATTGAATGACATAAATGAATCTATTATTTTCGCGTACTTACCTAATTGATTTTCTTTTGAGTTGTTGTAATCAGAGAAATGACTTGCAATTGAGAGCACGAAACTGTTAAGAATTTCAATCTACAAATTTCTTGGTGAGAAGTGAGAGCACCAAAGCAAAAAATGATATGCCTGCAATCGATAATATAGAGTGATTGTGCCACATATATAATTAAGGGAAAAAATGAAAAAAATAGATCAGAGAAGAATTTTAAATTTAGGGTTTATTATTTCTACGAAGCGTAAGAACAATCTCGATGACATTGAAGGTACTTGTCGGAATTGATAATTCATCTCGATCAAGAAAATGAATGAAATCTCTTGACGATGAATTTCAAGATATCTACGAGGGCTCAAAGCACGCATAAATCTAAAAATGAAATACGCACGTTTCTTTACCTAATGAAAGGAATAATTTCTTTTAATTTACTTTATTTGATGAAAAGGTTTTAGACTTAAGAAACAAGGGAAAATATTTAAAAAAATATATAAGAAGTTTATTTAATATATTATAATATATGTTTATATGTTATTTTAATATAAATTGAAGATTAATTATTTTGCACGGTCAGTACATCATAATCATTCATAAATATTACTTTATAGATAATTAAAATCAAAATTAAATTTCAATTAAAATTTAACAGCCGTGATTAACTAAAAGTATTAAATTTCTTTGTAATTAAATTCTATAAATTATATAACTCGAGTAAAGTTAATATAACCTATATTATTATTATTATTATTATTATTATTATTATTATTATTATTATTATTATTATTATTATTATTATTATTATTATTATTATTGTTATTATTATTATTATTATTATTATTATTAAATTATTTATATATCATATTAAATTATATATTGAATATTGAGTTAAATTAATTATACTCACTACTACAAATAACGTTTTTAACGTCGGACGCGAAATGTGTTTTATCTCGGCGATAGATGCGACATAAATAAGGTCGTCATAAAAAATAAAGATTTATCACATCGGTCTTTAAAACACTGAGATGCAAGTTTATTATTGCATATGTTCGAATCCCAGCAGCTGCAAATTATATTATTTTCAAAACTAACATATATTTTATCTCGATTTATTAAATAACCGAGGGGTATGATTGTTTATTTTTTTATAAATATTATTACATTGTTTACCCAGAATATTACATTATTTACCTAGAATATTACATTGTTTACATATAATATTCAAATTAAAAGAAAAATCAAATTTCCTAGGGATCTAGCTGAAAATCAAATTCCCAGAAGACCTAGATTTCAGATCTTTGAATTATTTAATCTAGGTGAAGATCAAATGTTGGATGCAAGATTATTCTGTATGGATCTTGCATGCATTTGTTTCTGGTGAAAAAAAAGGATAGGATAATTAATATTAATAATAAAAAATATTTTCGATAAAAATAAAAATGTAATAAAACAAATCTTGAATCCAGATGATTTTCTGCTATTGCAATCCATCGTAGAGAACTTTTCCAAGTGCACTTAGGTTTCAAGCTCTTCATATGTTTCATTTAGATTTCCAATATAATGAACTTATATAATTGACGGCTTTTAGGTTTCACGCGGATCATTAATGACAGATTCTTGAGCGTTGATAACCTTTAAATGGACGACAAAGATTTGTTTAAGGCATTTAAAAAAAGTGTAAAATAACACTTAACCATCCCCTCGATTTTGGAATAAAACCGAGGGGTTATATTACTTTTTTTTTACAAAAATGGTACACTGTTTATCCAAAATATTAAAAATTCAACAAATCTTCGCAGAATATAAAAAATACAGCATGTCCAGGTTCCACACAAGATGCTAGAGATCTGTTTTGTTGATACCCATCTTCTGAAAAGTTAAGCTCACTTCTTTCAAAGATTGAGCTCCCTTCTTTGTGTAAGTTGAAGAAATAATGATTTTCTGCACTTGCAATCTATCAAATACAACAATATTTCTATAAAAAAATACAACATCATTCTGTGAATAATGATGCGAGTTAGGGTGTCTTCATATGAACACGGATTAGGGTAAAGCCTAACGATTGCTTTTATAGTAAAATTTGACTACTATACCCATCAGTTGAAAGTTTAAAACCGACGTGGTGATTTATATAAATATTATCTCGGTTATTTTTGAACTATCACCTCAGTTCTTTTTAAATTATCACCTCGGTTATTTTAAAAACCAAGGTGATAGTTATTATTATTTTTTGAAGTATTACATTGTTTACATATAGTATTAAAATAAATTGTTTAGAAAAAATCTCTTCAATGTATTTTTTGCACTTGCAATCCATCATAACTTTGCATCTAAGATTGATTGTTAATGCTTGAATGTCAGAACTTTGCATCCAAATTTGATTGTTGATACTATCGTTATTACTCTATTCACTAGCGTATACAATGTGCATGCGTTGAAAGTATCCAACTTCTAATAAGGTGTTTCTCCCAAAAATTGAAAAATATTTTTTTTGCAGTTGCAATCCGTCAGTAAAAGCTTTTAGGAATAACAACAACAAAACTTTTAAGAATAACAAAAATAATTTTTTTTTTAGAAATAACAGCAACAACATCAATACCATTGTTTGAGATGGATTACAAAAGTTGAAAAAATGTTTTTTCAAGGTAGAAAGACATTTTTTTCCAGATTTGCAATCCATTCCCAAAAAAATAATGCATTCAACGGTGGACGACTACAAATAAGATAGCAATATGGCGTAATCTATTCAACGAGTATTTTTATAATAAAATCTGATTAATTTATCCATCAGGTTATCAAAAAAGCAAAGGATTATATAATTTATTTTACACTTGTAAACAAATAAAAACATAAAATGCAGTAGCTGAGATTCGAAACATGTCAGAAAGGATATAACACCTCGTTTTTTAAAATAATTAAGGGAACACGTTTTTTTACAAAAAAATAAAACATAACGCGCTTTAGAATAAAACCTCAGTTTTTTTCTAGATGATGTGAAAGCTTCGTCATGAAAAACGTTATTTATAGTAAAGACTATTTAATGAAAAATTAAATTATAATTGACTGTCAAAATTTTCAATAAACTTAATTTTAACAATATCAATAAATAAATATAATAATATATTAAAAATATTGTAGATGATGTGAAAGCTTCGTCATGAAAAACGTTATTTATAGTAAAGACTATTTAATGAAAAATTAAATTATAATTGACTGTCAAAATTTTCAATAAACTTAA